CTGGTTTTATTTTGTTTGTTTAGTCATTTGTTCCTTCATTCAACAAATGTGAACTGAGTGTCACTTCTCCACAGGGCTAGTCCCTGAGGCTGTGGCCGTGAACAAGACAGACATGGTCTTTGCTCTCATGGAACCTATAGTCCAAATGGAGAGTAGCCATTCATTCATTTAACTCAACAAATATTTATTTAGTGCCTCCTGTGTTTCAGCTACTGCTGTGCCTAGCAACTAAATAGATAATGATATATATTGTTTAACTATATAATAACTTAATCTTAGTAGTATATGCTTTAAAGAAATAGAGGAAGCTATGAGGACCTATAATAAGGATACCTATTCTGGTTTGGGGTGTGGATAGGGGTCAGTCAGGAAAGAGTTTCTGAGAACGTTTATTGGGAGCTTGAGTTGGCCAAGTTAAAACCCTGGATGGGAGTTGGGGTTGGCAGGGCAGGGAGATAGGGAGGGTTAGTTAATTATTGATTGTACTCTTACTTAGAAAGTTATCAACTGCTGTACCATCTTAAGAATGAAATTCTGCTCTTATCATTCATCATTGTTGTAAGTTCTGTGATTGAGACATGCATACTCCTTTATTGCAGCATTTACAGCCCTGGTTCTCCTTCCTGGTCAGTGATTATTTTGCAATTTCCATCTGGCAGCACCAAAGAGATTTTTAGTTTTCATAGGAGATCAAGATATACGTTCAAGAGGATAATTAACAATGTAAGCTAGGTATCCAATAAGTAGTATAGTTAAGTATTATTGGACTTCAGAGAGGGGCACTGTCACTTAGACATGGAGTGATCGTGGAGGGCCTTGGAAGTAGTGTAGTTTGAATTGAAGAAAAAGAGAGACTCAGAAAAGCAGAGAAGAAAGGAACTAGGCATTTCCAGTAGAGAGAAAGAAGAAAGCAAAGGCAGGAAGTGGAAGTTCAGTGTTGCAATTAGGGAAGGGTTATACTGTTGCCTGTAGGCCTAGACAGAGCCTGCTCTTGTCCTGGGGTAATGTGATAGAAGATGAGAGAGGACCTAGGAAGGACCTTGAATATCAGGCTAAGGAATTGGGACTTTATCCTTTGAGCAGAGTGAAGGCATATGTAGAACACTGTTTTTGAATAAATCTGGCAATGAGTGGCTTCAAAACTAGGCATTGAGACATGAGAATGCCTGGACTAGTGGGTTGGCAATTCAGTTTAACAAATGTTTATGGAGCACCTCCTGTGTGGCATTAGGAAGGGTCAGGAATGAATAAGTGACAGGGCACTTGTCTGAGGAACCTAAAGACATGTGCAAGATCATATTGAGGGTTGGAGAGATTAGAGAAGGAGTGGGAGGGGAGACAGGAGGATTCAGAGCGCCCCCCTCCCCACCCCCACTGGGTTTAAGGGTTGGCAAACTGTGGCCCACAGGCCAGATCCATTCAGATGCCTGTTTTGGTAGAATGGTTTTTACATTTTAAAGGATTTTTTAAAAATTTATTAAATTAGTTTTAAGTATATAGTACATTGGTTAGACATCTATATAGTTCATAAAATGATCCCCCCAATTGCTTCCTCCCTCCCCTGGCCCTCCACGTAGCCATCATATTAATGCTAACTGCATTCCCTCTGCCGTACTTCCCATCCCCATGACCAACTATCAGCTACTAATTTGTATTTCTTTAACCCTTCACCCCATTCTCCCAGCCCCTCAACCCCCCTCCCCTCTGTCCGTCACCAAATTGCCCACTATATTTGTGAGTTTAAAAGATTTTTTAAATATCAAAAGAAGAAGAGTATTTCATGATTTATGAAAATGATATGAAATTCAAATTTCATTGTCTATAAATAGTTTTTTTTTGGAGCACAGCCTTGCTTGTCCATTTATGTATTGCTTATGGCTACTTTCACATATAGCAGCAGAGCTGAGTAGTTGCAACAGAGACTGCATGGCCCACAAAGCCTGAAGTACTTACTGCTTGGCTCTTTACAGAAACTTTGTCCTTGAGTCACACCCATCCTTATCTCATAACTCTTCTCTGAAACTCAGTGTCCTACCCAAAGCCTTTCCCTCCACCCAGGCTTTTAAATATCCTTCTCTTCTTTATGTTCCTCCCTAGATCCTTAACTTTTCTTTCTTCCAGGATCTTTCTCCTCCCAAATAGGCTCAAGACCTATCTTACTTAAAAAAACAAAAACAAAACACATCATCAACTCAGAAGTCCACTTTTGCTGCTGCTGTCCATCTCTCGTCTCTATCTCTACTTCACCTTTCATTTAGTACTTTCGCCCAGACTTCTGACCCTGGCAGTCTGTTAAAACTAGTCTTGCTAAGTCATTAGTGAATTCCTAGCTGCCAGATCCAGTAGTTTTCCCGGTCCTTATCTTCCTCATTTTCTCTGACATTTAACATTTTGATCATTCTCTTTTCCTAGAGATCCTTTTTCTTTTTGCTTTTGTGACATCATTCTCCCTCACTTCTCTTCCTATTTCCAGCCCTTTCTCCCACTCACCTATCAATGGCTTCTCTTCTTTTACTAGTACCTTAAACATTGGTGGATTTCAGGGAGTCTTTCTTTTCTCCTCTTATAAGAGCTGTCAGTTTATTGAGTACCTACTGTATGCCAGTCGCTATTTTTAAATGTTTTACACAAATTATTACTAATTTTTGCAACAACTTTAAAAAGATTTTGTTTTCTCCATATTATAAATAAGGAAAGTGAGGCTCAGTGAGCTTAAGCAATTTTCCTAAGATTACACAGTAAGTGGCAGCTGGGGCTGGAACCTGAGCCTGCTGTAGTATACAGGTAAAGTCACCTATTCCCTGTGTACCAAAGACTCCTGCCACAAACTTTCTTTTTAGCTTCCAGCCTCTATATTGACTGGCTACTGGACATATCCATCTGGAAATCCTGGGAACATGTCAAACCCAACTCATTTTCTCTCCCTCAACTCCCATCCAGCCCCAGGTTGGTAGTATGACCATCTCTTTAGTCGTCTAGGCCATTGTCTTAGGGTTAATCTCGACTTTGCCTCTCCCTGACCCCTTCTCCTCAGCATCCAGTTGTCACTATAACCAGTCATTTCACCCCCTTTAATTTCTCTGGAATTCATCTCTAATATCGTCCACTTTCATTTTTCTAGTTCAGATTCTTTTCATCTCCTAGACTGTTGTCCCTCTTCTTTTAATCATATCCCTTCTTCTACTCTCGTATCTTTTCTAGTCAGTCCTCTGCAAGGCTACCAGAATGATCTCCCCTAAACCCCAGATCTTGGTTAAAATCTGTCGATGGCTCCCCATTGTGCTCTTTCTCTACTCTATAGCTTAACTAAGAAAGCCTCACCTTATTTTTCCAGGTTCTTTCTTCTAGTCTCTCACATACTACAGGTGTGTTTGTGGTTCAGTGTACAGTACACCCATTCATCTCTCTATGCAGTTCCCAAGGTGTTACCTCTTTTTAGAAGGTCCTTCCTAGTTTGTCTGAGGAACACCTTTTATGTTTGCCCCTAAAAAGTAGACAAACAGGCAGGCAAAACAAACAAACAAACAAACAAAAAATCAACACCCTCAATTCAGAGAGTACCTCAGCCTCTGAGCCTTCACTGATTTCCGACAGGGGTTAGGTTTCCCTTTTTTATGCTCCCCAAGCACCTTGGACATATATCTGTTGTCAGGCTCAGCACAGTATATAATAATTTGTGCACGTCTACTTCCTTAAAATTGGCACTCCTTAAAAGCAGAGATTTTAGTCTTACTTATTTATCTGTGGTATCTAGCTTATTGCCTGAGACATAGTAGTTCAGTAACTAACTGTTGAGTGACTAACACTGCTATAGTTGGAGATATGAAGTGAGGCTTTAGGGAAAGGTTAGGGTTAAAGGGTGAGGATGTTTGCTAAAGCTGAGGAGTAGACAATACTAGCACCCTGATATGTATAGCATCAGAGAATTTACAAAGTGTTTTTACAAATGTTTTGTCTCATTTTGTTCCACTCAGTAGCACTGTGAGACAGTCAGAGCAGGAATTCACATTGACATTTTAGAAATGAAGAACCTGAAACTCAGAGAAGTGAAGCGACTTGCCCAAAGTCTTGAGCATAAGTGCCAGAATTCAGTCTTCTCCAGCCAAATCTAATGCTGCTTCCCCTGCACCAGTGCAGAGATAGGGTTTGGGAGACAAGAGAGGAGTTTTGGAATAAACCTACATTTAGAGGTTAAAGGAAAGGAGCGGCTCAGAGAAGAAGATAAAGAGAGCCCCGAGGAATTACTTCGTGGTGAAGGTCAAGTTTTCAGAAGGAGAGGGCCTCATCCATGAGGTATTTTTGCAAATAAGGAAGGAAAGTGAGGAAGGATGAAAGAGTTTGACCACCAGGAAGTTCAAGAGAATAATTTCATACAATGAAGCAGCTTGCCAAGTGTTGAGGACTACATGGACAGTGAGGGAAATGGAAGCACAAGTAAAAACTCAAGAAGTTTGGCAGTGAAAGGAAACCAAGAGGCTGGCAGTTTGAGGAATGTCACTTTGTCAGATAGTCCAAGATACATTATTTTCATTTTGTAGACTTGAAAATATTCAGTGGAAACTGTGCTAGTGTATAACTGAGCTAGTATATACATGACTGAGAATATAAATTTCAGGATGTTTTAGACTAAATTTAACATTGGTCCATTCCAGTTAAGATATAGTGCCACAGGGCAAGATGTTTAATCAAGCCTTAAAACGAAGTCAAATTTTATTTGAGAATAAGTAACTATAACAGTATATGCCTATCTTTAGAGGACAGATGTATGCTAGAATCTGAAAACACCCTTCTTATATTCACTACAGGCTTATCTGTTCCCCATAACTCATCATTTGTTGTCCAGGTGTGATTTGATCAATGGCAAGATATCCCCGCTTTGTTGTTAGAGGTAGTTTTCTGTGTTTCTGTTGCATCCACATTTCCTGGGAACCAAGCTCTGGGGGGAGTTTGGATCTAGGCAGCTCTGTTGTTCTATTGATGAGGTGTCCCCTGTCTGCTAGGTAAAGCGGTACCAGTGCACCTTTGAGGGCTGTCCCCGCACCTACAGCACAGCAGGTAACCTGCGCACCCACCAGAAGACTCACCGAGGAGAGTACACCTTTGTCTGTAATCAGGAGGGCTGTGGCAAGGCCTTCCTCACCTCCTACAGCCTCAGGATCCACGTGCGAGTGCACACGAAGGAGAAGCCATTTGAGTGCGACGTGCAGGGCTGTGAGAAGGCGTTCAACACGCTATACAGGTCAGCCTCTTCTCCCACTGTGCTGCCAGCCTCTGGCCCTGACTGTCACGGTGGTGAAGCTCTCTCTCCTTGCATGGTACAGATATTCACTTTGGGGGCTTTAAAGAGCGAAGCTATGCTTAAAATTCATTAGAGGAACTTGTTACTTAAAGATCGATATGTATTGGGTTGGTTGAAAATGATAGTACATGTATTTGGATTTGTATCTCCTGTAGTGACATTCTGGCCTGGGGATTTTAGTATTCGGCATAGCGTAATATCTCCCCTTGGTTCAGAATCTTGCTATTAAGGCTTCTGTCATTTTCTTTCCTACTTCACTTTAAAAATTAACTTCTTTCCACCCTGAGAATGGGGAGTGGTTCATTCATTAGCCGTTACTCTTTTCCAACATTTGTGTAAGGAGACTTATATTAATCTTCAATACTGAGTATAAAATAACCAACAGAACAATAGCCAACAGTTAAAAGACACTTTTTTTGCGCTGGGCACTGTTCTGAGTGCTAATCGTCACAGCAGCTGATGAGTAAATGGAAGTGTAGAGAGGTTTTGTAACTGGCTCAGTGTCCCCCATCCAGTTGTAAGTGAGACCTGGATTTGAGTCCCAGGCATTCTGGCTCCAGAGTCACACTAATACCACTATGCTATATACTTCTCTTTGAGCAAGAAATTTTAGATACTGAAATATTATAGATGTAGAATTCTTATGCACTTGATCTTTTGTTATCTTGTAAAATCATTTTTAATTTTAACAAGGTTATAAATTCTCAGTGTTTACAGAGTAGATTGTTCTGTAGTTTATTACAAAAGATGCACCTCCCCATCCCTTCCCTTTCACATGCAACTGATTTCTACTCTTTTAGCTTAATATTAATATTTTTATATGTACTTTTGTGCCTTTAAGTATTAGGCTTATATTGTTTCTTCTTGATTTTTCCATTTTAGGATATTGACTTCCCAATATGGAAGGAAGTTAAGGATTTAGCTCTATTTTTTCCTCCCCTTTCTCCATCACACATGGCAGGCACTCTTCCCCAAAGCCCATTCTTTCAATGTAATTATTTCCAACATATATATATTTTTTGTTAAATTATTATTCACTATTTACTTAGCCATAAATAAAGTTACTTTTGTCTCATAAAAGATTTCATTTGCCCTAGGCTTATGCACTTGATCTCGAAGCCTATTAAGCTGATGTGGGGAAGCTTTGTAGTACATTATGACAAAGGGAATTTCTCTGGGGTATTTTATAGGCTGAAAGCACATCAGAGGCTTCACACAGGGAAAACATTTAACTGTGAATCTGAAGGCTGCAGCAAGTACTTCACCACACTCAGTGATCTGAGGAAGCACATTCGAACCCATACAGGAGAAAAGCCATTTCGGTACGTCTTACTGTTTTCTATTTGTCAGTGACCAGCTTTCAGCTGGATATCTTGTACTCTGAAATTTTTCAAAATGGAAAGAAAATTTCCTTCCCTAGTTCTTTGGCAGTATTAGTTCTCCCCAGGACAGCTATAACTAACTGTTGCAGATTGGAGGGAGGGTAATGGATTCCAGGAGTATCCCCACTCTGTGGATGATGGCTTTCTGCCTCATTGTCCCCTTTATCTTGAAGAAGCATTTGTTGAAACTCACTCATGTGGTAGGTATTTTTATCAGTGCTAGGGAAACACTAAGACACAGGCTCTCTTCTTGAGAAACCTAGTCTGGTGGAAAAGAACCACAAGTAACCAGGCAGTATCTGAGACTGAGATGGCCAAAGTGCTTTGAGCACAGGGGAAGGGATACCTACCTAAACATCAAGGTGGGAAGAGTAGGAGGACACCGGAGAGGAATTGAAGGGTAGGAATACTTAGGCTAGAGGTGCAAGTATTTCATTTTGTTACTTGTTCAGTTCCTTTGTAACATCTCATGTGTATACACAAACATATAGGAGCATACTTTTATCTATACTGTTCAATTTATGCATATATATTTATGTATGTTTAATAGATACAAGTATAAATGTTTAAGGACTTATATCATCTACTTTATTCTATGTTCACAGCATGTAACACAGTTCCAGGCATTCAGTAGGGATTCAAAAACAACTTAGGGACGATTATGTGATGTTTTTAATAAGATAATCAGTTTGTAAAGATTCTCTCTAAATATCATATTGATGCATTAGTGAAAATTGCTCAAAAACTGTGTCTTTGAATTCTGGCAGGAAAGATTGCTGTTATATTCATGGCATTAAATATGCTACCTTTCCCTTCTCAAATCACTCATCTCCTCATTAGGATATCAAGAAATTAAAAGGTCTTCAGGGACAGTCAACTCTTAAACACCAATTAAATGTAATTGTGTTTTAAAATTACAGATGCATTTCTGAGCCATCCCCCGCTAAAAGCAAGAGTATTTAGATTATAGTTAGTTATTCTCTAGATGCTGTTATGCTTACGTTACTTTTTTCCCCTTTAGGGCTGTTGAGGGGATTCTGATTTCTATTCAGTCACATATATTTTTGTGATGATTAATACTGTTAATTTTTTTTATATTAGATGGAACTTTAGACACAATGATTATGTGTAATTAGAAAGTAAAATGCTTTGGAGAAACTTTCTATTTAAAGAAATAAAATATTTTGGCTTACAAGAAAATACATTCATTCATCTAAATAGTAACTGAATGCCTGTAAGAACTGCAGCAAATGTAAAGAACTACATGGACCATGCCCTCGGAGAGTTAATAATCTAGGAGAACAGATACCAAATGTATACAATGTCAATAAAACGAGATTGGAAATGACAGATGCCATTTAAAAAAAAAAAAAAGTGTGTAGATAAATGCTTTAGGAGTTTTGAGAAAGGAGAGATTACTTCTAGCTTTGGTTATTAAGAAAGTAAAAGTGGAAGTAGTAGACCTGGAGTAGACACTGAAGATTGTAGATTAGTTATTATAGCCAAGATGTTCTGACTGATTTTGTTCTAGTGTTATAGTTCAGGTTCCCGGTCTCAACCCACTATAGATATTTCTAACACTGCACTGGCAGTAGATCTTCCAGTGGGCTCTCATTGTCATTAGAACTCTGTTAAGCAGTTCATCAAAAGGCTTTTATTGGCAGGGCTCTCAACATGTACCTTACCTGTAGGACAAGAAATACTTACCCTATGCCATCAGCTCCCTCTGATCTCAGATTTGTCACCTTGCTTTTCCAGGGACCTGTCATCATTCCCATCTCTAATAACAGTTTTACCAATATGATCTTGGTGCTCTGAACATTTGAGTTTGTATTTACAAGACATGTTGAAGATAAAGGTCTGTTAGCTAATGACTACTGTTTCTTTTTGCATAAACCACTTATTTAGATGTGATCATGATGGCTGTGGAAAAGCATTTGCAGCAAGCCACCACCTTAAAACTCACGTCCGTACTCATACTGGTGAGTTTAGGTTAATTTATGTTTTTTATTTTAACTTTCATCGAGCCAATAAATACCTGTGTTTCTGCTGAGACCTGTAGAGCTTTGTGCAGGGAGTGAGCCTAAGTAGCTTAGCCTTCACCTATAATGTTTAACTTTCTTTCAGAGGTAAAAGGATCTAAAGGTTGGACTCAGGAATCCAACCTTAAGAAATTAAACAAATACTGAGATACTAAAAAAAGAACCTGGGAAAAATACTAATTTTCTCTTTAAAATTCCCAGAAGCAGGCCGTTCTCATGCTTTCCTCTACGTTAAGTTTTAGGAGTGAGATGATTAACATGTAACTTATCCAACTTACAACAACTGTTTCCTGAACCCTTGTAAGAATATTTACTTCTCTCTTTTAGGGAATAGTAGATGTTTTAATCTAGTGAAATGACTTTATGGTAAAATTAACACTACTTGTCATTCTTGCAGGTGAACGACCCTTTTTCTGCCCCAGTAACGGCTGTGAGAAAACATTCAGCACTCAATACAGTCTCAAAAGTCACATGAAAGGTCATGACAACAAAGGACACTTATACAATGCACTTCCAAATCACAATGGATCAGAGGTGTGCACTGTTTTGTCTCTGGTTTTGATCTGGGCACCCCAGTACAGCAATTATTTGTGTATCAAAATTCAAGGTCAAAACACTTTCTCTATGTATCTGTTAGTGAGAAGGAGGAAATCAGGGCCAAGATCTATGTCTTTGTCATGGGGTGGTAGAAGCCAGAAACTTTACCACACTCTCTGTGCTTCAGCCTGTGATTTAGCTCCAGCTCCGTTCCATCGGGTGTAGTGGAAGAGGTGTCTTGAGACCAGAGGTCTCAGAATGGCTTCCAGTGGGCCAGCCAGATGCTATAAAAGTGTGTTATTTCCCCATTCATGTCTATAAAATGGTACATCCGTACTTGAATTTGGAACACAAATTAGTGCTTTGCTTCACACATCCATTGGAGAGCCATGCAGAGTCTGGGTGGTCCCTTGTCCTTTTGAATTACCTGCAGACCAAAAGGTTTGAGAGCCACTGGTTTAAGGCACTGAACCACAGAACAAGCCTCTGCAAAGTTTACAGCAGTTTTGTCTGCTCTTCTTTGCCAGTATGTCTTTTAAACCTAGGAAGTGAATACTGTTATTATCTTCCTACTTAATAGACAAAGAAATTGAAACATACTGACTCCCTTTTGAATAATAAGGTTCTTTTTAAAAAATTAACTTCTTTTTCAGTTACACTTGGCATACAATATTATATTAGTTTCAGGTTTAGAACAGGGTGATTAGACATTTATATATTTACGAAGTGATCACTCCAGTAAAGCTAGTACCCATCTTGAATAATGAGGTTCTTAAAGTATGTAATAATGATTTTGATTTGGGGAGAGACAGCATACTTTAATTCTGTGGTTTGCAGTTTTAAACAGCAAAGGAATCCTTTAAAAGGACTCTCCGCCTGTGTTTTATTAGTAATAACATTTACTGAATGTTTACTACATACCAAGTACTGTGCTAAGTGCTTTTACATCTATTATCTCACAAAAGCTCTGTGAGGTCAGTACTGTTCTTATCCCCATATAACTGATAAAGAAACTTGAGGCAAGGGGAAATTAAATAACTTGCCTAAATATCCAAAGCTTGTAATTAGTCTAATGTAGGCAGGCAATCTGATTCCAGAGCCTGGTTCTTGACCTCTATGTTATAAGAGGCAAAATAACATAAGTTGTGAAGACTGCAGCCTCTGGAGCTCAGCTGCCTGAATTCAGAGCTAAGCTTAAGATTTGAGAGTCTTTGTCTGCTAAGCTGCATTTATTAAGTCATGATCAGTTTTCTCATTTTTGTAACAATCCAACGATAGTTTAGGTGCCGACCACCTCTAAGCATTGGAGGACCCCAGTGCACAGTGCTTAGATCTCATCTTCTCTGGATCACAGGTCACTCTCCAGTGGAGGGAATCCTCTAGTCTCAGGCTTTAAATACCATCTAGGTTGCCTTTGAGTCCTAAACTTACATCCAGCCTGGATCTCTTCCTGAGCTCTATGTACTCAACCTCCCACTTGACATCTCCACCCTGATATCATCTACTCTTCTCAAATGTGACGTATCCAAACCTGTTCCTCCTACACGTTTCCCCATTTTAGCAAATGGCACCTCTGTTTTTCTAGTGGTATAGGCCAAAAATCTTGGAGTTGTTCTTTATTCCTTTTTTTTTGACCCTTCATACCCCATATCCACTAGCAAATTCCTACAGCTCTATCTTGAGAATATATCTAGAATCTGATCGCCTCTGATTACTTCATTCAGGCCGCTATCTTCTTTTGCCTGGGAACCTGCTAGGTGGTCTTCTTGGCATCTTTCCCCGCTTCTCTCCACTTCCACTCTGCCCTGACACAGACTGTTTTACGTGTATCACTCAGAGTGATCCTTCTGAGTCACAAGACAAACGGTGTCTGTCCTCTGCTCATAACCCTCGAGTAGCTCCTTATATCACTTAGAGTAAAAGTCAAAACCTTTTAGAGGGCTGCAGTGCCCTACACTCTGGCTTGGTCACTTCTCTGACCTGATTTCCTTCTCTTCCTCTCACTTTATCCATACCGTCGTCCTTGTGGTTCCTTAAACAAAAGAAGCCCACTTTGTATTTGCTGTACCCTCTGCTTGGAACACTTTCCCTAGATATGTGCATGGTTCTACCCTTTCCTTCAGTATCTGCTCAAATGCTGCTTATGTAAGAAGCCTTCCCTAATCTAATAAAAGGGCAGCTCCTACCTGAACATTCCCTATTCTCCTTATCCTCCATAGCACTTGCATCATCTTGTATACTACATATTTGTTTGTTTGTCCTTTCCTACCCCCTTCAAAACTCCCCCAACAAGAATGTAAGCTCTATGATGGCAGGGACTTTGTTTTGTTTATTATTGTATCCCTGGACCTGAAACAATGCCTAATACATAGTAGATGCTCAGTGAATATTTGCTGAATACATTCATGAATGGGAACATCTGATCCATGAGGTGGGCAGGGTTACCACATAAAGTGTGTGAATTGCAACTGGCATTCTAAAAATCAGGTTCAGCTTTAGCCTAGGTAGCTGTATTTGAATAGTACATCTTCGGTACTGCTCTGAGTAAGGATCCCTGAGATGCCCATATTGTAGACACAGTGATTAGCAGAAAGAAGATGGACTTTCAGTCAGAATCTCTGGGTTTGTGTTCTGCTAATTAGCTATGTGATTTTAGACAGTTCACTGTCAGTCTTCACATTAATTTTCTCACATTTAAAATGGGAATGTAAAATAATGCTTCAAAGTTTTATATGAATAGCAAACGAAGTCATCGGAAATCCTTTTGTAAATCGTAAGGCCAATTATACAAATATTAATTTCACATTATCACAGCTTTTACCCTAGAGCCTGAGTTGTGAAATAATTCTTAAACTCTTTATTAACCATCTTTAAGAATATAAGAGATTCTTCAAAGAATATCGGGATTTTAAAAGTTGAAATAATTCATATAGCCCTTGCTTTGGATGGTTTATGCCTCTCCAGATAACATATCTAGACATTTGGGATATTAAAATCAAGTGTCTTATTACATGATATGCTACTATAAATCCTGAAGTTTTGTTACTCAATTAGAATTTTTTCTCTTACACAGGATGCAAATCACTCGCTTGGTCTGAGTGACTTGAGCCTTCTGTCAACAGATTCTAAATTGCGAGAAAATTCCAATACAGTAAGTATACCTCTGATATGGGCGCTAGAAAAATAAGTGCAAGAACTGACCAGTCCCTTTGGTGGGAAAATTGAGGGAGACCAGTTTTTGAAGTCTTCTAGATTTAGTTATGTTCAATTACTGACTGTTTCATTTTTTTACATTAATTAATTTTTTTTTTTTTTGAATGTTGGACCATCCTTCCATACATGGAATAAATCCCACTTAGTTGTGGTGTATAATTTTGTTTACACATTGTTTTTATAAATAATTTTTTTATTTTTCAATAATGGTTGGCAAACTGTTTAGGGTTTTTTGTTTTTGTTTCTGTTTTTTCCTGATAAGAGCTCTCTGAGGAGAGATTGTTTTCTCTGATGTCTTTTGACCCTGAGGTCACTCACTTGATAACCTCCTGGCCCCAGAAAATTTTTTTCTTTATTCATTCAGCAAATATTTATTGAGTGCCTACTCTATCATGCAGTGTGTTGGTGCTGAGCTTGTAGTGGTAAAAACGTAGGTGTAGTCTGTCGTAGAGGAGCTTAAAATTAGTCCCCTGTAAGGAGGAGCCAGAATTCCAGTTTCCAGACTTTCTCAAGTCCTGATGATCTGACGTGAGTCAGTCTTTTCCTTTCTTTGAGCTCACCACATTGGGGTTTTGAAAGATACCTCCTCTATAGGCCCCTCTGTTAAAAGACAACGCCACTGTCTCTAGATCTGGTTGCTTCAGTTCGCTGTCTGGAATTTCTCTCCCATTCCCATGGCTCCACATTGCACCTTGCAGACCACTGCATTAAGCCTGAGCTGTTGCTGCCGCATCGAGAGGATCTGTTTGCTTTACTGTGTCACTAGCACTGGTTGTTTAGAGTGCATTTTTTGTTGTTTTTCTCTGCTAAATAAATATAGCTTAGGTTAGATTTTCTGAGTATATGCATAATAAAGAAGAAGGAATCAGTGTGACAGGAAGTATTTGAATAGAGACTAGATGACTCAAGAATGCTGTGAAAAAGTGTTTTTCAAAGTCAAGTCATCTGCAACACTTCTGACAACATGGGTTCTTAGGCCTCACCCCAAGCCTTACTGAGTCAGTCTCCTCTGGGAGTGGCATCTGACACTGCATTTTTATGTGGGCACCCCAACGCCTGGGTTATGGTAATGGCAGAGTTACTTTTATGAGACCAACTCTTCCATAGCAAACAACTATATATGCTGGGAAAAAATATATAAAACAACTACTTAAAGGCACCAGAGAGCAACCCAAACAGGCAGAGGTAACACATGGAAGAAGAGACCACTTGGAAGATAGCAAAAGCATTTGGATGGATTTTCAGGTTTTATGGCTTATCCACTAAGGGAAAGCCCTGGTGGACACCAAACAAGATGGCCAAAACTCAGTAAATAGCCTTACTGGCTTGATAAACCAGAGGACAGAGGTCAGGGCTAGCAAAGCACCTGGAAATGGAGAGGGCATAGCCTGGAAAGGGAAGAGCCACAAAGAGGGAGCCCCAAGTTCTATATATAATCTCTCTCCAAATCTCTAGTTGACCTCTGAACTGTGGATGTATAGGGCAGACCCTAAGCAGCCCAACTAAGGCTAAAGAAGCGGACAAAGATTGCAGCTGTGGTCCAGTGCAGGAAAGACAGAGTTTGGAGCTAGAGCACAGTCCAGTCAATGGAATGTTAAAGCGGACACTTCCAAGAAGTGTAACAGAACCCAGAGCCTCTCAATGTACTGAGTAGCCCAAAAGTAGTAAATATAAGAAGAAACAAGAAGACATTACCTCTACTCAAGAGGAAAGGTAAACTGTGGAGCCCAGCCTCAAGATGAGCCAGATGTTAGTCTTAGCAGACAAAGATTTTTAAGTATCTCTTAGGTGCTCAAGGGCATAAAGGAATATGCTTGTAATGATTGAATATATGGGAAATCTCAGCAGAGAAATAGAAACTATAAAAATATCTACCAAATGGAAATTCTGGAACTGAAAATTTACTGAAATAAATTCATTGGATGAACTTAACAGCAGATTGGAAATTACAGAAGAATCAGTTAAATTGAAGATAGGTTGATAAAAACCAATCTGAAGAAGAAAGAAAAACATTATGCATTTCATATGATTTTTATGCATATTCGCATTTCAGAGCTATCGCTCTAAAAAATTACTGGGTGGCCTAGATGCCCTCTGAGCTGTACAGCCTACGATTTCTGGCTATAATCTCTTTAATCTCAGGGATCGTGTTAAACGGTTTAGGAGTCCGCTCCCTGGCTAGGGCTATGGCATATCACTGAGTAGCTTTCTGGAGCCCTGCAGTCCCCAGGTGAGGAATCCTGGTACTAAGGAACATTAAGTACTTTTTTAAAAAAGGAAACTCCTTTTCTACCATAATTTATATCAGCAAGAAAGAAGCTGCTCTATCTCTTGGGGATAAATTACATATTGTGCCTTTGTCATCCAGCATTTATCCCAGAATTGGAAATAGTCTCATTTTTAGTCTTTCAAACTAAGGCTACAATTCCTTGAAATAATAAGATTGATTTTGCTGTGTTTTGACTTGGTTTTTTAAAAAATTATGAATTATTAAAAATCAAATGGTAAATTTTTATGTGTTCATCATTTTCTGGGTTTCTAGGCAGATGCATATGTATGTGTCCGAGACGCGAATTCTGATTTGCTCAGATCTTTTGTTAAAGGAGGGTCAAAACCAGTAGAGAATGACCTGCTGGGTGGCCTCTTAACTACTGAGTTTCAGGATCTATCCTGGTCCCAAACAGCTCCCAGTGTTCTTTCATCTCTTTGCTCCAGGCCCAGAGGCTCAGCCTGTTCTTGTGTCCTTTACATTTAGGAGCTGCTCCCAGGGTTTTTGCCCTGAAACCTGGGAGTGGCTGAGTCACAGTCTCCTCAGCACTTTCCTTTTTACTTTCTTTTTCTTTGTTAATATAGAAAAACTTTACTGATATTAATATACGTACAGAAAAGTATACTTGTTATAAATGTATGACTTAATGAACCATCAGAGTTCATCACATCTGTGTAACCAGCACCCAAATCAAGAAATGGAACATTTCCAGCACTATCTTGACTTCTAACAACCTATGATGAATTTTGCCTATTTTTGTGTTTTATATAATTGGAGTCATGCGGTATATATTCATTTGTGCTGGCTTCTTTCTTGCAACATTGTGTTTAAGAAATTCATCCATATTGTTGCATATAGTCATAGATCATTCTCATCGAACAGTTTCACATTAAATGAATATACCACAATTCGTTCTTTCTACTGCCCTTAGATATTTGGATAGTTTCTAGTTTGGGGTCAGTGTGAATAGCGCTACTGTCAACAGTCTTGTACATAATAATCCTTTGGAGTCACTTAGGCTCATTCCTCTTTAACAGTGTTATTGCTAATGATTTGTAAACAGGTAGAACAAAAATAACTATGAGGAAGTTGCGAAGTTTATAGCTTAGCAGTAGTTGTTAGCCCGCTATTTTTTGAACTGAGTTGTACCTCTTTATTGGGTTATAAAATAGTAATTTATAATCAGCATTTTAAGAACATCAACAGAATAGAAAGTATCAAAAGACACTGCACATAGTAAGGATAAACTCTGTTTCAGACTTTTGTTTCAGTTATACATATTTGAATATGTAATGTGCAGTATAATGTAAAATGTATTTCTTACTTTGTGTCATGATGAACAGTTTGAGGGCCACTGTCTTGCCTGTGATTCTTAACTCTCCCTGTGGACTGGAAACTGGAAGCCTCATATAGATTTCTGCCTTCAGCTTCTATCATACTGGTGATCGGATTCACTCAACTTACCCTCTCATTCTTCCAGATGCTGGAATCATGCTAGAATAATTGGCCTCTCTTGACCTCAATGGGCAGCTTCCTCTCTGAGGACCTCTAGATTGGTGGGCAGTTCTGCTCCCTACATCTCTGCCCAGGCCGAGTGACCCTTCTCCCTCCCAGAAGCAGAGCTGATGCCCAATGACCTTAAAGCACAAGTTGGCACTAGGGCCAAATCCAGCCTGAAGATAGGTTTTGTTTGGCTTATACAGTGCTTTTAAATTGTTTTCAGTTTACTTGCTTTTAATTACAAATTAGTAGATTTCACACACACAAAAAAAATCCAAATTTGGGACCATTCTTGAGCTCTGATAATCCCTGGCCTGCATAGCACACAGCAGCATTCACTGAAGCTCTTCAGATGACTGGGCGCACACGCTCCAGTTTGCCACAGTCTCCCAGTCCCTGTCTCACCTTGCTTCACTTATTACTATTGCTTGTGTAGACTCTTGGAGGTTGCCTTTGTCACTCTTGCCCTACAAAGTGCATGGGTGGAGGTGGACTGGAGGTGGATTACAGATAAAAAAGTTGCTGTGTTTCTCCTCCCCTTAACTAAAGGGAAGCCTGGAGGTGGTTGTTTTATTTGGTGCCTATCAAGAGTGAGATCTTCAGGGCATTATGTGTTTGTTTTCCATATTTTATCTTTATAAAAGACTCTGACCTTTTTTAATTGTAAGTTACAGGGAATCAATGTAATGACAAACAGTAGTGGGTATAAGGCAAGCACTATTGTCTATCATTATAAATTTCTTTAGATGGTTTGATTCACTACCATGTGTACATACTGAAATATTATAGATATTATGTAATGACCTTGAAAGATATTAACAATGTATTGCAGTAAAAGGTATTATTCAATCCCTTTTGAATTTTTATGTAGGATTTGGCCTTTTAGAGCAAGGGTTGGCACATTTTTTTGTGTGTGAAGGGCCAGATAATAAATATTTTTGACTCTATAGACCATATGGTCTCTGTGACAACTCCTCAACTCTGCCATTATAGCCGAAAGCAACATGGACAATAAGTAACGAACATACCTATGTTCCAGTAAAACTTTATTTACAAATACAAGCATTCGACTTGCAAATCAGCTTGCCAAACCCTGTTTTAGAGTATTTGAGCATGCAAAACTTGAGTGTCGGAGATTTAGGGGCATATATGTCACCTGAAAAAGGAAAAGTTAGAAACAAGAAGCATATTAAAAGATTATTGTACTTCTACTGTTCTGTGTTCTCTCATGGTGAAGAATTTCATCCAGTGGGGACTCTTACATCCTTGTTTTTGTCCATCATCAGACACAGGGCCAGGATTTCAGCACACTTTCACCAGCAAGCATCTTTAAATCAATGTTCCAGAATTCAGATGATACGGCAATTCAGGAAGATCCTCAACAGACAGGTTTGTTATACAGACTTTCCTCCAGCACTGGGAGGGAAAATTCACACTGTTAACATACCGAATGACAGGCACGGTGAAATATTATTTCCATTCCTTGAATGAAGTGGCTCTCAGTGAGGGGTTAGACAAGAATGGGCCTTTTAGTTAAACTCCATCTTTTCCTTTACTTCCATCAGTGAGGGTCTTCTTTCCTTAGACTCTCAAAGAAAAAGGTCTCCTTTTCCAAAAGTTCTGGATGGCTTTAAAAAATGAGAAGAGCTGTGAGCTCTTCTTCTGATGTGATACCCCGTTCATGAGTGGGCAGGACCCACAGACTTAGCATCAGATACATAGATCAGACTGTATTTGAATGAAAATCTTTCTCTGAAACTTCACAATAGTCAGTGTGTTCACTGGTTATGCAAAAAAAGTATGTCTAGTCCCATTCTAGAAAAGCCTTAGGACACATTTTTTTTTTTTATGCTAAGACCTATACTAGGTCTTCACATGTAGAAAGTGAGATTGATTTTGAAGCCTGGTACTTTGACCAGAGGTATTGTTCAGTGAACAGCAGAGAGCCAGCCTGCTGGCAGTGAAGGTATTGGCTCTGACAGACTTCGGCCGTCTTTGGTTTAGCTCATAGTGACCGTGTTTTTGTGGCTCGTATAAGGCTTGGGATATGTATATATATTTCTATTTCTTTTTCTTGCCAGCTGCCTTGATTGAAAGTTTTAATGGTGATGCAGAGTCAGTCATTGATGTTCCGCCATCCACAGGAAATTCAGCATCTTTATCTCTTCCACTTGTACTGCAGCCCGGCATCTCCGAGCCACCCCAGCCTCTACTACCAGCCTCAGCACCGTCTGCTCCTCCGCCTGCTCCCTCCCTAGGAACTGGTTCCCAGCAAGCTGCATATGGCAACCCCCCTGCTCTCTTACAACCTCCAGAAGTGCCTGTTCCCCACAGCACACAGTTTGCTGCTAATCATCAAGAGTTTCTTCCGCACCCCCAGGCACCGCAGCCCATCGTACCAGGACTCTCTGTTGTTGCTGGGGCTTCTGCATCAGCAGCGGCAGTGGCATCAGCCGTGGCAGCGCCACCCCAACCACAAAGTACTACTGAGCCCCTGCCAGCCATGGTCCAGACTCTGCCCCTGGGTGCCAACTCTGTCCTAACTAATAATCCCACTATAACCATCACCCCAACTCCCAACACGGCCATCCTGCAGTCCAGCCTAGTCATGGGAGAACAGAACTTACAGTGGATATTGAATGGTGCCACCAGTTCACCGCAAAACCAAGAACAAATTGTAAGTATTATGTATAAGCAGATCCCTTGGGGTGAAGTGTATTTACATAGGCGACATGTTCAGAGGCATTTACTTCAAAAAGGAAAATGGCTGTCATATCTGTCCTGAAACACATTATTCTGCCTTTTAGTCATTTCCCCCAGAATCCAGTGGTATAGGTCCAGGTCGATACCTGCAATAGGTTGGCAGAGAAACAACCCTCAAGTTTCCCCAGCAGTAGGCACTTGAACAAATATTCCATCTGCAATCTAATCCCATCATCTAGGACAGAAGAACAGTCAGCAAACTCCAGAGGCCCAAACATTTCAGGAAAGCAGGTTCTGTCTCCAAGGCAGAATCACATTGCTGCAAGGGACTGTCAGATGGAACTAGACAGCAGTGGCCAATTCAGGGAAATAACATGTTCCCAGAGCCCATGTACAGCCATTTTCTACAAAAGCGTTTGGTCTCGATGACTAAGGAAATAACTTGGTCATTCAATTAAATGTATTCTGAGAGCCTGTTTTTCACCAGATACCATGCACGATACTCTAGGGGATACTGAAAAGTGAAAATCGTGTTCTTTTTCATAAAAGACATTCTACATTCTAGTTAAAGAAGCTAAAATGCTTTAAAGAAAGTTAACATTACCAGTAGTAGGTAAAGTGCCAAGTAATAATAAAAATGGTAATAGAAAAAAATAACAGCAGATTTATCGAGTTCTTACAATGTGTAAGGGCTTACTGTGCTAACCAAGCACTTTTTTATGTTGAGAATCTAACGTGTAAGTCATTTTCTTTGTGTACGTTATTTTTAAATTACATTTTTTTTAAATTTTATCGAACAGATAGTACAGAGAATTCCCATACACCCCATTTCCCCCACCAAGTTTCCCGTTATTAACATCTTGCATCAGCATGGTACACTTGTTATAATTGATTAATCAATATTAATACATTATTGTTAACTAAACTCCATAGTTATTTATACATTCAGGTTTGCTCTTGGTATGGTATGGTTCTGAGTTTTGACAAATACATTTCCTCTATCTGCCATTACAATATCCAGAATAGTTTCATTACCCTAAAAATCTCCTGTCACTTTTTCCTCCCTTCTTCCTCCCCTAGCAACCACTGATCTTTTTACTGCCTCTATGTGTTTGTATCTCTAGATGTCACCCACTGTGCTAAGCACTTTTTAATGCATTACTCATTTAATCACAGCAATCCTAGTTATGTATGATTTTACCAGTGGAGAGCGGAGGCCCAGAGAAATTAAGTGACTAGCCCTAGATCACATAGCTCATAAGTGGCAAAGCTGGGTTTCGAGCATAGACCAATCCCAGAGCCTGTGATCTGGACTACTACATCTTGCTGCTCGATGAGGGGTTCAGAGACTAAGGGCTTGTTGGGCAGCCATACAGTCAGGTGAGCCTTGAGCTATGAAGAGGAATTAGATGGATGTAACAAGTAGGAGAGGGTCTGGGTGGATGTATGATACTCTCAAACAAGCTGGAATGGTAGTTTGGGGCTAAATAGTGAGAGCACTCAAAATTCCATAAATGGAGTGCCAACTGCCTCTAGAGGCAACCTAATTTCATTTTCAGATGGCCAAAATCACTGGAAAGGTCTTTTCAGTGTTACGACTCAGTCTGTCTCCATGTAGTTTTTATTGTTTTTTTCTGGAACAGGTGTCATTTCCATACAGTTCATTTTCATGTATTTAAATATGTGTCTCATTTTTCAAATTCTATTTTATAGTGTCATCTCCTAACTTAGCCAGAAGCTTTCACATTCCTCCTAGACTCATCTTAGAGGAACTTTTTTTTCCTTAAAGGGATAAAAGACAAAGCCCTTTTGAGATAAGACTTGAAGAAAGTAGAAACCCCAGCAGATTTAATAGGAAGTATACTAAAGGGTGATTCGTGGGAACAACTTTATAGTCCTACTTAATAATAACATAAGTAGCTGATGTTTGCTGAATGCTCACCATGTGCCAAGGGCTCTACATGCATCGATCATCTCATTGCATCCTCTCAGGTCCTTTGGGAGGTTCTTTGGTTATCATCCTCATTTTTACAGAGGAAGAGACAGACTCAGAGAAGTTAGATCACTTGCCTGACCTCAACAACTAATAAGTAGCAGAGTTTGGACTTAAGTCCAGGTGTGGCAGAGCCCAGGGCCCACTTTGAGCAAGGAACCTGCACAGCTTAAGATACACTGTATCTTACGTGATACACTGTATCACTGGGGTGGTTCTGCCTGTGAGAGGAAATCTTAGCCTGTCCTTAGCATGCAGCTTAATCTTTGAGGGAAAAATCTTTGAGAGGGGTAGCGGAGAGTGGAGAGCTTAGAGGATTGCTTGAGAAAAGCCACCTTGGAGGAGGCTTTGGGCACACAGAGCCATGGATTAGGCAGCTGGGAGACAGCCAAGTAGTGGGGGACAAAGCTGGCTGCATTGTCTGAACTGAATGTCAAACAGTGGGGTGACCTCATGTCAGAGCACAAACAAAACATCACTCAGTGCGAAAATCTCTCAACACTGAGGGTTTTCTGTCCTCTTGAATGACCATTACTATTGGGGAGGCTTCAGGTCCTTGGAGGTCTGCCATATTTGAGTGGCCATAAATGTGAATTTCTTTTTTTTCAGCAGCAAGCATCTAAAGTTGAGAAGGTGTTTTTTACCACTGCAGTACCAGTAGCCAGTAGCACAGGTATGTAATTCTGTGTTAACCTCAAAAGAAAGTCAACTCTGGGCCCCTTGAGGCACAGTTGCTTTGCCCCTATTTTTAAACTTTTAAAATCAAATTTGTCACATTGTATTTGTCACATTTATTTATTAGAGTACTTCATATTTTTACAGCTATGGAAGTTAGTGCACATACAACATACATATTATGTTTAACATTCTTTAACTGGTAACGGTTCCTTTTCTTTCAGATGTAGCTTTTAAATGTAGCCAGAAAAAAGTTTGAATCACAGTTAATGCTAAAGAGGGCAGTCATTAATTCACTGGACTCTTTCCTAATTACAGTAATGAAGAAAATAGCATCTGGGTCAGAGACTATATAGAATAAAAGCCCCTCCCCCCGCAACTCTATTTTATAGATTAAGAAACTGGGGCCCTGAACAATTAAATGACTCTCCCAAGTCAGAAGTCAGTTTATGGCAGAGGCAAAGCACTAGTTCTCAGGTCTCCTGACTCCCACTCTGTTCTCCTGTTTCTTGGTCTCCAGCTCTCTTCAGACACACAAAGTTTGAATTCATAGTGTATGTGTGCACACAAGGCTGGTTGTGTAAAAGGACACCTACTGTGTGTCAGAGACTGGGGTTACAAAGACAAGTGAGATGGCCTAAAGGAGCTCAGACCCTCTCGGGCAGGCGGAACTGAGTAAGTCTTGTACTGTGTGGAGAGAGGGGCTGGAGGAATACAGTAGCTCTGTTGCACAGTACCAGGCAGCTACCCTCTGCCCAGCCCTGGGTATAAGCTTGTTGGAAACCTGCCTGAGGCATCAGGAAAGGAGGAGAGTGAGCTGAGTCTTCAGAGATAAGAGTAAGTTCACCAAAAGAACAGCCGAGTATGAGAAGTTTAGGCGGAAGCACCCATAGGCTCAGAGGTAAGAAGAACATGTCGGGCAAAGGGAGGTATCCACTGTGGCTGGCATGGAGAATGCAGGATACAGTGGGGAGGATGGCTGGAGATGAGGCTGGAAATTTAGGATGAATCTACATGGTATGTGTGGTTTTCTAAGGGAGAGGAACTTTGTCTTGGAGAATGGCATCCACTTTCTCCATCATTCCTGCCTCCATGGCACTCAGCTCTCACCTAGTCTAGATCCCTCAGTGCCCTGCAGCCACTTGAAGAGTGGTCTCTCTCGCCTCTCTCACAGGGAGCTCTGTACAGCAGATCGGCCTCAGTGTTCCTGTGATCATCATCAAGCAAGAGGAGGCATGTCAGTGTCAGTGTGCATGCCGGGACTCTGCCAAGGAGCGGGCGGCTGGCAGGAAAAAGGGCTGTTCTTCCCCACCCCCTCCAGAGCCGAAGCCCCAGCCTCCTGATGGGCCCAGCCTGAAGGTACCACCGCAGACTTTTCCCTCACCCTCTGTCCCCTTGTCATCATCATCTGCCATACCCTCTTCCTGTGAGCAGAGCAGAGAAGCAGAGACTCCTTCAGACCCTCAGACAGAAACGTTAAGTGCCATGGATGTTTCAGAGTTTCTATCCCTCCAGAGCCTGGACACACCGTCCAATCTGATTCCCATTGAAGCACTACTGCAGGGGGAGGAGGAGCTGGGCCTAACCAGCTGCTTCTCCAAGTGAAAGGCCTGAATGTGTTCACCTTCAGAAAGAGAGGGTGAGCAGGAAGCATAAGGTGTGATGTCTACCATCATGGATGGGGTCAGCAATTTGAAGGATGAAGAAATCTACTGTTTGAAATCCTCACCTTTCAGATGTATTTTCTTTATTCATATCCCAGGAGCATCCATTCTAAGGAACTGATCTTCGGGAAAAAAAAAAAAACAACAAAAAACAAAACAAAAAAAAGCTAAGTTATAAATGAACTGTTTGGCTGCACTGTATGTCACTTTTGCTTATTGTCATGTGAACTTGGAAATTAAGGTTACTTGTATGCATAAAAATTCTAAACGAAAGGGTGTGGTTTCCATCAGTCTGATGCTGCCCATCACTTGCACTGGGGCCTTTGTGGTTTGGGCAGTAGAGTTCAGTGTGTTGAGTGTTGCTCCTCCCGGTGTGTCTTTTGAGTCTGAGGCTGAAACTTGCTCAGAAGGCCAGACTCTCACTCCATCGGAGAGGGAAGTGGCAAAGACAGGTCAGACAGCTATGAGCCAGACAGGAATTGGGTGAGATGATTTTGTTGTTTGCGCTTGATATTGGTAGAGCTCAGAGTGACTGTGGCAGGTGTCATTCTGCAGCCAGCTGCAGCACAATTGGGCAGCTAAAAGCCTGGCCCAGGGCTGTGGGGATAATCTGGTTCTGCAGGGGCCCTGGGTGAAGCCCTGTTGACTCCTATCTATCAGTGACACGTGAGCAGAGCAGGCTCTAGCAACATGATCAGTCTTTGCTTTTCCTGTTTTTTTTTTTTTTTGGTCTCAGTTGGTTGCCAGGGTTTGCAGATCACAGTGAATTTTTCTTGGGGAACATCCCTGTTTTGTCCTAGAGTGGACATGTGGCTACATGGCCAGTTGCTGGTTAGTGTTCTGCCTTTAATGGTATTTTCTTCCTCAGAGCAGAAGAGCTGCATTTTGCTTATCAGTAGAAAGTGTGGTTTTAAAGGAGATCTTTTAAGGTGGTGTATAATTAGCAGGCCAGGTGTCCTGGTTCCAGATTCTAGCCGGGCTTTTGGTTGCCCCCTCCCATCTCCGCCTCTCACCCCTCTGGATTTTGCATACAGCCTAGTACGGTGCAAAGAAGGATGTGACTTGTTCAGCTTAGTCATATGATTTCTAAACAAACAAACAAACAAAAAACACAAAACGATGATCTTCTACTCAGGGTAAAACGATACAAAAAAAATTCCCCTTCCACCAAAAAGCCTGAAATGTTGCAATAAGTTATCTCATTTGGAATGTTTCATTAAGTTGTGTTATAGGAAAGAAGAATTGTTTTTTGATTTGTGTATAGAATTATATCCATCTGTCTGCCTTTGGCTCTAAGTCATTGCCTCTAAACATAAAACATAAAATACAATCCACACTAAAATGGAAAGTTTCTCTCAACTGGCTATATTATTGTAGTCATGAATGCTCACTAAGCTCATTGAGCTTAGAAACTAGGTATGGCCCAGGGTCCAGACTAGGCCTCTGCCTCCCAAGAGCCCTTCACTGCCTTGAGTGAGGACCAGGTTTCCACAACACAGGGCTGCTCTTTGGACTCGATGATGTCAGGCAGAAAGCAGCCATAATTTTGCCTTCCTTTTTCACTTTATAATGTAGAGAGATCTGCATTTGTCACTCTTCTGTTCTTCGAGCCATTACTCAGGGCCGGCCGAGACAGTATCCAAAACAGATCATTTGGGGAGCCAGAGTCCCTGCCTTTAACAAGTCGATCAGGGACTTGGACAAGAGGGCACTGGTGGTTAATGTTGTTACTGCCATCAGGAGAAGTGGGCTTAGCAGCTTCTGGTTTCTCATTCTAGGAGATTAGGCAGGAGAATCAATTTCTTTTTGGCCTTCTGCACTCCTCAGAAGGCTGGTGGGTTCTGGTGGGTTCTGGTGACTATTGACCTCAGCAGAAGTTGATAAGGCAGGAGGAATCTTCTGTTACCACAGTGGGTCGGTCTTTCTGGAAAACCAACTGCTGAGCATGGGTTGTTCTTAGCTGTCTCTGGACCTTGCACCCATGGGGAGCTTTGAGGGAGGACCCTTGCTGTTTTCTCTACAACTTCTGAGAGAGAGCAGCACAGTGGGATCCTAAAGGTAGTTCATACTTGAGGGCAGGAATGACCTTTCACTTACCTAGGGTCATCTGGGATTTGGCCCCCTGGGAGCTGAGGTGGGAAACAGGAGCCTAGGGAAGGCCAGTGGAAGCCTCCAGGTTTAAAAATTGCTTCTTTTTGGTTAGCCAGGGCTGTAATCATGTTGGGCCGTCCCAAGTCAGTGGCTTTTCCACTCTCCAAAGATTGGGGGCGATGCAGAAGCATCTTAAAACAGTGTTTGAGCTGCCAATTTTTTCTAGTTGAAGTATCTGCCTTTTGAGGGCGACTCGAGATTACAAGGGGGACTATCAGACCCAATCATCTTTTGAAAAATCAGGAGTGTGCTTAAAATGCTAGTGAGTGGTTGTGAAGAGTAGGTTTATTCCACAGGGTAGGCAGCGTTTCCTTCCTCCTCCAGCACTCTCCCTCCCATCCCCTTAATAAGCCTGGTCTTTAATGCTGAGGACCTCAGAAGGAGGGGGCCACTGACTAAAGTGGAGCCAGAAAGCGCCTTCATGGAGAGTGTGGCTTCCCAAACCCGGAAACGAACCTAGGGCACTGTTAGGGAAGAAGGTCTGCAGACTTACAGGTGAAATCAAACCTTTTTTCTTCCCGTGGTAACCGTAACCATTTCACCCTACAGATTTATACTTCTGGCTCCCTCTAGCATTTTTAGTTATGCCACCCCTTTACAGGGTGCTAGTCAGCAGCAGGAGCTGGAGTTCGCCGGCTTAGGAGGTGGTAGGAAACTGGCTGGCACCGCCAAACTGCCTTAGTGAATTTGGCCCTTCCCAGGCACGTGGGCGGAGCACTGAGAGAAGTGGCCCTGCCTTTCCTGGCAGGGTCTGGCCAACCTCATGGGGGCATTACTAGTTTGGTGAGAGGAGTTGGTGTCATTTATTGAATTCTACCCCCATCCGTTTTAGAAGGAGATCATGGTACAAAGCCTAGGAGAGGCCTTAAGGTTTGAAGACCTGGGTAGAAGCAAGGGACTTCTCTTTACCACCTCTGGGAGAGTCAGTCGACTGGAGAGTGTTACCTTCAGGGTCAAGGCAGTGGATTGATGGGAATAATGGAGGGTGGGTGGATTTTCCTGAGAGACTTTGTATAATGCTGAATGTGTCCAGAGGGACGAGTTTGCAGAACCTCATATTGGTATATTAAAGAAATAATAAAAAAGCACTTTAGGTTATTTTATCTTTAACCCAATTGCTGCAATTTCTTTTGTGTGTGTGTATGTGTGTGTATATATGTGTCTGTGTGTGGACACACACACACAGACACACGTATATATACTTTCCACAAAGTTTTATTTTTTGCTCAGAATAAAAAGTTAAATTGAGGTGTGAAAAGAAAAGCACTTACCTTGGTGCAATATGTGTAGCTTGACGGTCGTTGTCCCATGTGGCCCTGGCCTGGCCGTGTTTTTCTGCTCCATCAGCCCTGTACCAGGAGGCTGTCTATAGGGAAACACTATTATGCATTCTCAGCAACTGCTCAATCTATGCAAGCCTTCCCTGTGTGCCCAAGGGTGCCCCCTCAGGCTCTCTGAAGAACTGCTGCGGGTCCTGTTTTCTGCTGACTGTTGAGGCCCTTTTCATCACTTCTTGCACCCTTGCCATCTTTCCCTCCTTCACCATTACAAACTGATGCCTGAAAGGAAGGAACAGGTTGTTCCTAGGTAGAAACCTGGCACCTTCTAGACTTTTATATTTGTAATCATGTCCTTTGTCCTTAATCTTAAACACTGAGTCACTGAAACCATTGATTTGTGGAACTGCAACGGTATTGCTAGAGTTTACAATTTTCCGACACCACCAATCAGAAATATGTTTGGGGAGATATGGGAGGCAGGGCAAAATGAGCCATTTCCATACTGCTCCCATAGTGCCCCGTTGGCTCTTTAAGCAAAAAGGCCTCCGGCCTTCATTAAATCCAGTATAAACAAAGATGTTAATAATCTGCTTTATCAGCTTTTTCCTTCTCCCTCACTCCCCCCTCATTCCCCCTTCCACCCCATTTTATCTTCATTCTCAGGCTGCTATACAAAAAAAAGTTTTAAAATATACTTCAGCCAAAGCAGAAAGATTTCCATAAATTCAATATGCAAATGGTTCTGCTGTGACATAGAATTGTCCATTCCTTAATAATGGGGAGGGGGGAGGCAGCAAAACTGAATTATGCATATTTCTGGTTGGTAATGTTTAGCCTGTTTCCTCTTAGATATTTTTGGATGAGAAAGGGTTCTGTGTTTCTTCTCATGCCCTTTGGGGAAGCTAATGATCACTGTTTGGGCATTTCCCACTGTTACTCCTGTTCAGGAGAGGGCTTCTCAGTCTGCACTGAAAAATGCAAATTAAACTGGATCTTTATGTCAATGTATACATAGTACAAGCTTTTTTACTGGATGCACAGTTTAAAACCACACACCGCCCTTTTGGTGGTGTGCCTGCTGGGCCAAAAATTGGGTGATAATGTAGTGTCACTTTCTCAGCTCAATGCAGTTTCTACTTTTTCTTATGGGAAAATTTTTCATAAAACCTTTTTTCACCAAAACCCAGGGGTGTTTTTTGCAATATCCTTGTTATCCTCTAGTGGTGCCAAGTCAGAGGCCTCTCTTGCCTGTCTCCCCTGTGTCCTCAGGTCTTCCCTAGGGCGCTGTTTGACTCAACAGTCTACATCCTTTTTAGTTTTTTGGAGAATGTCAGGGTGAGGGTCAGAGTTCAAGATGGCCGTTTCCTTTTCCTTTGAACTCTTAGTCTCTGTTTTGGGAAGGTAGCTGGAAACAGGTGTTTGCCGAATCTCTGGCTCAGATCTTCTGGCCAGGAACGGCAAGACCCACGAGAGCCTTCTTTTTTGACATACACTAGTCATTGGCCGGAGGTCTTGGTGACCGTTCTTTAAATCCCAAATCATTTTATTTGGATTATGTAAAAGCCTATTAAATTCATTTAAGTGTGAAACATGGGAACAATGGACTTCCACTGAGCGATATGAAAACGTTACAGGTTCAGTACTTCCAAAGGAAGAAACCTCCAAACCCAAAAAAGAGTAAATATGAATTTGTATTTTTGAAGAATGTGAAATAATGGTGTTTGCTTAATTGCTCATTTTGTATAAACTTAATGTTGTACTTTAAAATATCTGCTAAGAAGTGAAAATTTAACTTTTTGGAATTGAAAAAGCAATATTAAATACTAATGAAATCCTAATTAAATGCTTATTTAAATCTGGTAGTATCTGTGGCATTTCTTCCCAACCCTGCTCATTGCTGACAACTTTCAACCACTTTCCCCCTCCCTAGCCATCAGTCTTAAGAGAAGGGACAGAAAGGAAAGGTCGTTCACCAGGAGAGTCTGCAGGTTTCCTTTTAATCAAGGCTCTGCTAAAAGTGTTTTGTGGGACTAGGAGCCCCCAAAGCATGAAATGGACATGTAACACCACCTGGATCCCCCATAGCAGGCCAGACCACTCTGGCAAGCACTGCTGGTCTGCCCAAATCCGGATAATCAGACTGGGTATTCCTTGGCTACATTTCAAAACTCAGCCCTGCCTTCAGCCAGGATGAAGTGGGAGTGAACCCAGCTGCTAGCAGAGCTGCCACCCCAGGCTGAGAGCCAAGTTCCGGCCGCTGCCAGTGAAGACTGGCCCCTTTACTGAAGGGAGTTGTTCAGAGTCCAGCCACCAGCCCGGGGGGGAGAGAGAGCTCAGGGCGACCGCCTTGGGGATGGTCAGGGCTCCGCAGCTCCATCGCCAGCATCCTTTGGAAAGCCACCTCTGGCGGAGACAGCTGGCTGCGGGGGCGCTCCGGGTTTGGCTGAGACGCTCTGGTTGGAACAGAAAGGAAAAAAGTGAGGCTGGGAGGAAAGGCCTTGGATTAGGCCCCGCAAGGATATGACCATATCCTTGGCATTTGGAAAGCACTTAACTTTTTTCAGAGCCTCAAGCCCAAATGAAAGGGCGGGGGAGGGGAGGTGGGCGGTAAAGAAGTGGGGACACTTTCACCTTCTAGGGGAAGCTAGGATTTAGCAAATCTAGCCAGTGGGCAATCCCCACCTCCCAGGCCCAGCTCGGGGTGGGCACTGACCCCGCCACCAGCCGGCTCCGGGCGCCGGCGGCCCAGCTGTCGCAACATCTCCTCGCAGGCAGCGCTG